ACGAAAAAAGCAACCACCCCTCCCTCCCCCAAGAAAATAATTAGACAACAACAAAACAACAAAAACAAAACAAACAAAAACAAAACAAAACAACAAACAGAAAGCAACAAAATATACATGAACAAACAAAACCAAAAGCAACTCCCCAAAACTTGGACTACGGATTTGCTTCGTGGTTGGGACCGGGTAACCGAAATAGTCGAATCTTTTCATTGAACTCTGCGGGACCTTTATAACCTTCATGACTACTGGGGAATGGACCACACTAATTAGGTTCGACTTTTGTTTGACAAATCTTTTATTGAATTAACATCAGTATAATTAATTAAGTTGACCCCCCCCCCACACACACACTATTAATTGTTCTGCCCTCGTTTAGAATTTTACCAGTTACGTGGCCCACTTTGAAGACACGTTGAGTGACCGCTGCTCCAGATCTGCACTGTAGCTAGCCACAAACCAGACAGTAAGTTGAGGAACGTGACTTTTGCTATCTTGTTTTGTTTTTCGGGGTTGTTTTGGGGGTTGTTTTTTTCTTTTGATTTTGTTTTAAATTTGAACTGTGACTGAAAAAAACACACACACAAAAATGAAGCACAATAAAGTGTTTTGCTTCGAAGGCGGGTCTCTTGTTTTCTTGACAGGACAGACTTGTCTGATGAAATATTGTCAATCTCAAGATTAATTCATATTGCACTCAGTTTTGAACCTTTAGGTTCCTCACAATGTTTGATGAAAACTAGTTGTGCAGAAGAACACTTGATAACTTTGATAAGACCTCAGGATGGATCCCTAAGCTTTGCTAAATAAAATAATACAAGTGATTGTTTTGACCAAATTGACGTGCATTGATTGCAGCAGAAGAGACCGTGCAAGGAATTCTGTAATGGTAGTGAGTGAGTACTGACGACCGTTGTAGATTTAAGAAGAGTTCTCCGTCATGTCACTGCCGTTGAGGGGAACGCGTTTTGAATGCCCGTGAGTTGTCTTGTCTGTCTTCGGGCCCATCTGTATTCATTTCTGGACAACTTGGCGGGAAACCTGGATGTTTTCTGCACGTCGTCTGAACAAAATCATCATCATCATCACTAAGTGCCAAATCGGAAACTGACTTTGGTGGTTCCTTTTCACTTTCCATGTTTCTGCTCGAATGTTAAAAAAAACCTATATTAATTTATTGTTCTGACTTTCTATCGCTATCTCCTGTCTCAGTATGGCTATCTACCTATCTGTTTACCTTCTCCAGCCCCATAACTTCATATCATCGCCGTCATATTCATTGCCCGCCACTAAGCCCTTCCTATCTCGCCACCCCCCCCCTACTGTCCCTCCCGCTCTCTCTTTCCCTCTCTCTCTCTCTCTCTCTCTCTCTCTCTCTCTCTCTCTCTCTCTCTCTCTCTATCTCCCTCTCTCTCTATCTATATATGTCTCCCGCTTGCTCTCTAGTCATTTCTAACCACTAAAACACATTCAGCCAGCATTTCCACAAAATTGGCTTGTTAAATGTAGGAATTGCTTCTAACGTTAGCAATGAAATTATACATCTACCAATACATGTATTGGACGAGACTGAGAGGATTCAGACATAGGGTACTTGATTTGGGAGTTTGAGGTTGCTCCCCCTGAGGCGAGGGGACACAATATTCTGTGTAAATTGTGCCCTCTCGACTTGGGTTCGAGGATCCTGTGTCAGAATCTCTCCAAGCTCAATTGGACTCTAAAAGAATACTCGGGACAAAGAAACAGGGAGTAGAATGCTGCAATTTTAAAGATCGTAATCTGCCAACTTGCTGTCTACAACCCGCTTACAAATACCCCAACATACCTGCCCCTATACTGTCTTCCCACTTAGCTCCTCTCTACACTTGTCTTGGCCCGATAGAATAGGCTAACATTTCGGAACTTCATGGTGACCGTAAAGATGGTTCCAGTAGGGAATGGGATAGAGGAAGGGAAGATAGGACTAACGCTAACATTACCTAAACGCAATCCCTCATCATCACTCATCACCACTATTAATTCTAAAATCATCACCGCTCTCAGATCAATGACTTACATCTATAATCCTGGAATCTCTATCCGCTATTACAGTTAATTGTTCTACTAAGTATGCATGTAATACAATTTGGATGTAATACACTATTGGACACAATCATATGCACTTTTTTCTACTAATCAGATGGCGTCAATCTCATATAGATGGGCAAGGGAAATTTTTTTTTTATTGTTCTGGGTTTTCCTAGTTTTCAACTGTCCAAGTTCTCTAAGTGAGTTGTTCTCGGCCTCCCTCAGCCCTCTATTAATTTTTTCAGGGAGAACAAGCTGTTCAAGGACTTTATGTCTATTCAAATGTCCCTGCAACTGCATTTTGGCAAGCCGGTATGAGAGCGACTGATAAATAAGAAGATTTTTGTACTTTATCCAACCATTTCTTTGAAAATAAACAGTGGGACAAAATTGAAATTTGGCATGCATATTTAGCAGATGTAGACAAACATCCCAGTGCGATTTGGATATATTCCAATCAGTAGGCCCACTTTTAGAGTTGTACTCTTACAGACTTTGTGGCGGACTGGCGTTGTGTCAGGCTAGAGTTGTAGGTACTGTATGATAGACCTACATTGCTCTGAATGTTGAAAAAGTATTCCCCTTGTTCATAGATATAAGGAATGTGAAAGGAAGGGCTTTGATTTCCTTACCAAATAGATGCAGCTTGAGTAAATCCGAACTGTGCTATCTTACATGGCGAATGTGACCGACTGACAGCTCGGACTGAATGACTTAAAACAAGGCTTAAAAAAACACCCCAAACAAATCATCATTTTAGTGTCTTTGCAAGCTTCAACTTACATAACAAGTTAAAAATAATTAGTTGAATATTAACTGATTTTTAAAAAAAGTAGAAATGTACCAATATGCACAAAGAAAATGAACAATCAACTTCTTTTAGCCAACAGCCAGAGAATCACATTGATCAATGACATCCAGGACATTATGTAAAACTGGAATTTAAAAACTTAAATTTTGCTGGGATGGATTTCAGGCTCTCATCCATTATAAGACTATCTCTTTGACTTTTCATTTACTGCCTTTTAATTCTATTGTAAAATAATTTGCTTATTCATAAATCATTGTTTTCACCAGATAGAGCTTTTAAAGTTATTGGACAAAACACCCACCCTTTAACATCTTTGTATTCCCCATGTGTATCGCCAGTGATACTTGCCTGAAGAGACTTTTTATACAAACTTCATTCGCCCTTCTGTCCAATGCCATGTAGTATGTAGTGATAAGTGCAGGTTTGCTGCAGTCACTTTTCATTCAGACAATCTAGTACATGTACTCAACTGACGTGATGTGCGTGGTCGTAAAACTCACAATAGGACCTTTCTTTCTAGACTATCTTTGTGTGGCTGACACGGATGTTGGGACCGAAGCCTCATCTCTAAAGTTGAGAACCTTCATGTTTCCTTTCCTGGAATTTGTACAAACGGATTGTGGGATTGTTTCTGGAGCACACTGATGTAGAGACTTTCGTTCACAAAACCTTTTCAGTGTGTGTGTGTGTGTGTGTGTGTGTGTGTGT